CAACCTCCCTATCCGCCCTGCTCTGTGCATGACAGGGGGCAGCGCCCAACCCCCTGATTGGCCCTGCTCTGTGAGTGACAGGGGGCAGCGCCCCAATCCCCTGATTGGCCCTTCTCTGTGCGTGACAGGGGGTGGCGCCGCAACCTCCCCATCGACCCTGCCTTGAGTGTGACAGGGGGCGGTGCCCCAACCCCCCAATCGGCCCTACCCTGAGCGTGAGTGAGGGTGGCATCGCAACCTCCCGATCCGCCCTGCTCTGTGCATGACAGTGCGGCGCCCCAACTCCTCAATCGGCCCTGCTCTGAGCCTGACCAGGGGCTGCACTTAGGGATTGGGCCTGCCCTCTGCCACCCGGGAGCAGGCCTAAGCCAGCAGGTCGTTATCTGCTGAGGGGTCCCAGACTGCGAGAGGGCACAGGCTGGGCTGGGGGACCCACCCCCCCAGTGCACAAATTTTTGTGCACCGGGCCTCTAGTATATATATAATAGCCCTCTACACAATGTGATATGTTTAATATAAAAATTTTTTTGAAATAGATCTGAGATCAGTAGTGGCTGGATGGAAACCAAGTACGTTTCTTGGGCCTTTTAAAAAACTCTATTTCTTACTGAGTGGTCCATGTATTAAAATTAGGAGCAGCAAAGTTGACCACACTAAAGGCCTCCCTATACTGAAATTTGAGGCCATTGGTAACGGTCATGAGGTGTGAGAGCTGATGTAGACAATCATATTGAAGTCTGTCTCTCTTCCTCATGACCAAGGAGAGGGTAGACAACCCAGCAAAGCATAATGTTGAAGGAAATAGTCCCATTAATCAGAGTGAGCATCTTAGAAATCTTTTGTGTCAAAACTGGGCAGAATTTTAAAAAATATGGGTGGAATATCAGAATGAATTAGCTACCAAAACCACTTTTTTCAAATGACCCATAGACAAAAAATGAACTCATCATTTTTCACTATTTGTCATCAAAGTCTTTCTGGTTTGGCAGGTTGATGACCTAATGATTTTTAAATGGGGTTGGTATAAAGGCTACACATGTTTTCTTGCCACTTGGGTGCATTTTCTGTGGGCTTGGAGGGAGGGAGGTTAGCCTTGAAGAAATACATAATTCCAATAACCAGTATTGTTCGAATATATTAAAATGTATGTGGCATCATTGTTATTTTAGGCTTTTCTAGTTCTCTTTCTATGTTTCTCTCCATTTATGTAAAAATAAGAATATATATATGGAGAGTAGACATTTAAAATGCATATACATACTGTCAGTAAAGATCCATCAGGAACGCAGAAACCATTCCAGTTATTTTAACAGAGAAAATTTAATATATGGAATTTATTAAACAGATATTGGAAGACTAAAATTTGCTAAATAAATAACAGATGTTGTAAGCAGCTACTATTTCTTAGGTGAAGAAGGAGCTGGGGTTATCCGAAGCTTGGAGGAGGGACACTGACCTGAGGGCCTGCAGTGAGACTATTTCTTGGAGTATGGGGCAAAAATATGTATATAAAACTATAGGATTGGAGACTGTACTCAAAAGCCAGTGCCAAGGGAATGCTCACCGGAGCAACTAGCAAATAGGAAGAGGCATGACTTTCTAGTCTCTTCCCACCTTTCAGTCTCCCTCTAGAGCAGTGGTTCTCAACCTTCCTAATGCCGCGGCCCTTTAATACAGTTCCTCATGTTGTGGTGACCCTCAACCATAAAATTATTTTCGTTGCTACTTCATAACTGTAATTTTGCTACTGTTATGAATCGTAATGTAGATATCTGATATGCAGGATGTATTTTCATTGTTACAAATTGAACATAATTAAAGCATAGTGATTAATCACAAAAACAATATGTAATTATATATGTGTTTTCCGATGGTCTTAGACGACCCCTGTGAAAGGGTCGTTCGACCCCCAAAGGGGTCTCGACCCACAGGTAGAGAACCGCTGCTCTAGAGCTTCTTACTTCTTGCTTTCTTCTCCTTAGGCGTTCCTGAAGTGATGTCATCATGGCCGTGACTATTGGCTGCATTCTCCCGATTTTCATTGTTGTGCTGTCTCTGAGACCTCTTGTTATTTGGCTTTTCTGCCTGTGTGATTGTCTCATTCTTGGACTCAACCTGGCCAGCTTTGCCACTGTGGCCAGTGGTATCATTGACCTGTTGGTGTGCCTCAAAGAGTTCCACGTGACTGTCCACCTGCCTGGCCCTGATCTCCACCAGCTCCACCATCTGCCTCACAATCTGGATCTTCTCGTCGCCCAGCTCCTGGCTCCGGATCAGGGCTCTCATGCAGTGCCACGCTCTCCTCTTCTGGTTGCTGTCCGTCTCCCATTTAAACTTCTCATAATACTCATCTAGTTCCTTCAGGATTTGTTTCCCCCATTCCTCGCGGCTGCTGGGTCCCTGGGGCCTGGGTGGGAGGCATAAGCTCATCCTTGGTGGAGGCAGGAACATAGCTAACAAGCCTTGCCCCAGCCCCGGGGCGCCGCCATTACTCTACATGGTTGACTCTTGAACAACATGGTTTGAACTGCGCAGATTCACTTACATGCAGATTATTTTTTCGATAAATATACAGTTTGCCCTCCATATCCCCAGGTTTTGCATCCATGGATTTAACTAACAGCACATCAAAAACAGTATTTTCAGTCCCATTATTGGGAATCCATGCATGTGGAGGGTCAACTATATGCATTGATCTATGCCATTTTATCGAAAGGCTTTGAGCATCTGTGGATTTTGTTATCTGTGGGATGTCCTAGAACCATTCCCCTGCAGATATTGAGTTAACATTTTTGAGGGTCAAAAGTTATACAGTGATTTTTTGACTGTCCAGAGGCAGGCACCTCTAACCTCCACATTGTTCAAGAGTCAACTGTATATAAATTCTCAATCTATCAATAGATTGTGGATTTTCCCTGGGCCTCTATGATAATTGCACTGACATGATTTTGTATGATGGCTTTTGCCACTGCAGTGTTTTCTCATCATGGATGCTTCATTGATTCATCATCCTGCTGCCTTGATCGTGACTCAAATCTTCAAGAGTCCACAGTGAGCACGTTCAAGACACAGAGGCTTGACTGGAGATGCCTCCATATCTCGATGAGGAAACACAGGCATTACAAATAATTCCTTTAAGGATGGGAAGCCCCTTGCAGTTGCTGCTGTCATGTTTTAGTGTAGAGGTTCTGTCTCTTAGAAAGGCAGCTGTGTGTTTGGTGAGCTGTGCATTTTCGGGCGGGGCTCTCCTAGTCTAAAAGTTTTCTTTATGGGGAGTGATTCAGAGGCTGTTGAGTAAGTCGTTAGTAAAAGGCACATGGTGTGCTCATGACCTGTGAAGGTTTCTTGAGCACTTGTCAATGGCTATTGTGCTTTTCCTGAGGGCCCTGGTGCAAACTCCTATCTTGTTTGTTTCCCATCACTTTAAATAGAGTAAGAGAAGAGAAGAGAAGAGAAGAGAGAGAGAGAGAGAGAGAGAGAGAGAGAGAGGCCTGGCAGAACTAGACAAGGGTATGGGGCCGTGAATCTAAACGAGCTCTGAAGTCTTTGTGTAGCTCCCATGTGCAATTCATTTCAGGGAATTCCGCAGACAGCTTTCCCAAAGTAGGCATTTCCTTTAGCACAACCCACTATCCTTTTCTAGCCCCTGGGGCCCCGAAGTCCCCTCTTTTCTCTGACAAACCAATGCCACAATTTCAAAGTGATTCAGCTGGCGTCCCAGCAATGCCTTCTAATTCTGCCTCTTTCACAATAGCAGGGAATAGAGGAAACTGACAAATGGGCTATTTTTGAACCAGAAGCTGGCCCAACTGTCAGGCGTAATAGCAGCCGAGTAATGTTTGTGGGATAGCCCGCTTTGAAAGATGACTTTATAATTGCCCTCCAGATCCCAGGGATAAGAGTGGATGTTGAAATCGGCATAACCCTCTTAGGCTTTTCAAATCCGACCTTCAGAGGCCCAACAGACGTGCTGGCAGGGCTGGCACCTGGCTGTTCAGATGGCCGCTATCTCCCCTGTTTGGCCACATGTGTCCTGGGCATTTTGTTTACCCCTCACATTGTTTGTGCCTTATTAATATTGGTGGCCTCTTAACAGAGGGACGCGTTATTGCCTTGACTGCTTATAAGACCCTTTTGTATCTAATCCTCTCAGCACTTTCCTTTTTTTCTTCCCATCTGTCAGTGGGCTTTTGTGCCCAGGGGTCAGCACATCAACACTTCACTCTTCCTCCCCTGCAGACAGCTCCTGTTTCTGAAGTCCTTTCACTGGAGAAGGCTGTTGGAACGATCTGCACAGGACAAGTAGGAGAGCTGAAGGAAAATAACACCACAAAACCACTGCATTCAGTTTAATTGATACCCTGATGAGGCTTCGATTGAAATGGGGATCTTCCCTGGACCATAGTTTCACATTCTTGTCTCAAGAGCACTGGCTATGGACTTGGACTTTGGTACAAAGTTAAGGTGAATTTTGGAAACCCATTTTTGCTGGGAGGATGGAATGTTCTGAATAAGATAATGGTGTCTTCTCACGTTTGCTTCTTCTGTTAAACATGTGGGGATTGTGGGATGTTTCTAATCTGGAGGCAAAGTGCACTGAAAAAAATTGGTTCCTAGCTTTTTTATTTTTTTATAATTCTCAAACCCTTTCGCTACCGCCATGCAGTTGAATTTCCTGCATTTTCTCAATCAGGTAGTTACTAAGCGGGAGCTGGGGTAATGTTGGCATTGACTCCAGTCAGCAGGCAGGGTGGCAGGTGATTTATGGGAGTGACCTTCAATGATAAGATGTGCTCTTGAACATTCCTTCGCTTAATGTCACAAACAACGGAACAAGGTTGATGTGCCTTGCAGTTTTCAAACTTTCATGTTAACTTCAGAATTGTTCAAGTCAGTGACATTGGGACTAAGACTAATAACCCCACAAAACCACTGCATTCAGTTTAATTGAGACCCTGATGAGGCTTCAATTGAAATGGGGATCTTCCCTGGACCATAGTTTCACATTCTTATCTCAAGAGCACTTGCTATGGACTTGGACTTTGGTCCAAAGTTAAGGTGAATTTTGGAAACCCATTTTTGCTGGGAGGATGGAATGTTCTGAATAAGATAATGGTGTCTTCCCACATTTGCTTCTTCTGTTAAACATGTGGGGATTGTGGGATGTTTCTAATCTGGAGGCAAAGTGCACTGAAAAAAATTGGTTCCTAGCTTTTTTATTTTTTTATAATTCTCAAACCCTTTCGCTACCCTCATGCAGTTGAATTTCCTGCATTTTCTCAATCAGGTAATTACTAAGGGGGAGCTGGGGTAATGTTGGCATTGACTCCAGTCAGCAGGCAGGTGGCAGGTGATTTATGGGAGTGACCTTCAGTGACAAGATGAGCAAGTCCCTGTTCATGCTCTTGAACATTCCTGCGCTTTATGTCACAAACCACGGAACAAGGTTGATGTGCCTTGCAGTTTTCAAACTTTCATGTTAACTTCGGAATTGTTCAAGTCAGTGACATGGGGACTAAGACTTTGCGGTTCAGCACCAGTGGAATGTGGGATGGAGTTATGGAGTCTCATAGTGCAATCTCTGAGCTTCAGAATGACCTGGGATGTTTCACAGAAATGCATTTCCAAGGCCCACCCCAAACCTGCTTACTCAAAGTATCAGGATGAGGACATTGGAGTCTATATGTTTAATAGGGCACCTCCAGTTGTTCTAACTTCTACCAAAGTTTCAAAATCACTTTCCTAGGGGGGTGGGGTGGGCTATAAGGGGTCAATGGGGGAAAATGGGACATATGTAATACTTTCAACAATAAAGCTTTAAAAATGACTTAAAAAAAGAAAGAGGAGGGAAAAGGATATAGGGGGAATAAATGGTGATGGAGGAAAATGAGAATAAAACAAAGTAAAATCACTTTCCTAAAGGAAATGGTAATGCTAAGTGGGATCAGCAGAGATAAACCATGTTCCCTTGCCTTGATTAGAAGAATGCATTGTTTTAAATATGCCAGGAAGGATATTCATACCTATCTGTGAAAACTGCTTATCTGAAGGAATATAATGAAAAGATGTAGTTTTGGGAGGCTTTCCTTTCCTAAACTACTTTGAAAAGACCGCTTCACCATATCCTCATTTCATGTGTTGCTCACGTTTGTCTCCAGACAGTTTTGCTCATTTAGCATTTTAGACACAATAGAGTAAAAGTAATCATCTCTTTATTATCCAGGATATTGTGTCAATGACAATATGAGAATTAACTAAATATTATTAAGCCCTTCTTATTTAAACCCTAGTTATGAAGCATTTATCCAAAGCATTAATCCAGAAAACCTCAGTGAGGATGTTATGGGTCCTCTAGGCAAACTTTTGGATAATAAATTTTCATAAAATGCTAGGACTCAAGTTATAATTGAAGAAAATGTCTGTGTTACCTCTCAAAAAGTTTCTTTTTTTTCCCCTCTCAACTAAATGAAAGGTACAGAGTGAAAAACCATTTGAAAAAGACAATTATCAAGTCTGGTGACTTGAGGCTTTAAGGTGTATTATTCTGTCACTCTGGCTGTTCTTGCATTTCATGTTGGCGAAAAACCACAGAAAGTAAAACAGGCTCCCAGGACATAGTTATTTCCATACCCTCCCACATAGTATTCTCTTTGGAGCAAGCAATTTGTCTGCACTCAACTTTTCCTTGTTGGTTTTCCAAAGTAGACAGGCTTTCCCCAAACCCCTGCAGCTATTCGTGCTGTTAATGTTTGCCCTTCACAAATGAATCTTTTGTGCTGCTTGTTACTGGACTTGGACTGCTGTCTTTCCTTCGCTTCCATTCTTTTTTTTTTTTTTTTTTTTTTAATGAACAATAAGAGCAAACAGCTTGGGATAAAAGGGTGTGGTGGGGGCGGGGGGAAGGATGACCTCTGGTTGGTCAATCATGATGACGCAGTTTATGGGTTTGGAGGAATCTCTTGTTAGGAGACACAGGGCAGAATCACCTATAATGTGCTCACATGACAAAGAACTAAGGATGAGAGAAACCCCGAGGTTTCTGCTGCTGAACAATGACCAAGTTCACTGGTGTTCTCAGGTGCAATGAGAAAATAGGCCCTCATTGTTGAGGCGGCATCAGCACCTGCCTTTGTTTCTGTTTCCCTTGCTGCAGCATTAACACTATCTTGTCAATCTGGAGACAGGTTGGCATAGGACATAATCACTGGTGGATATTTAGCCAGTCAGTGTGCTAAACAGCTTGTACTTGCTGAAATGTATCTTTGTGCACTCTTGGACTAGGTATATAAGTAACTGAAACATTTACTACACACCAATTATCACAAGGATCAGTTAACCCTTTATTGAGTAGTTCTATCTGTCTTAATATCATGCTATGCTGAAACCTAAAGGCTTGGCAAACTAAACTTGGTAAGTTATGAATATTGACATTTAAAGTATTTATTTTTTCC